ATATATATACTATATATGGTAGTATAGAAAATGTATATATATATATAGTTTAAATTTATATTAAATGCACTTAGTTGAACTTAAGAACCCACTTAACTAGTCTTTATATGTAAATTTTAGGGCTGTCAAAAATAACTCATCAATCTCTGTGATTTTTATTTTCTGTTTAGCACGTAATGTAATGGGTGTATGTGAAGATTGCTTTAAGCTCACTTAAATTAAAAGTCATAATATTTTTTAATGTTCTGTAACAGTTTAGGCCTATAAAAAAATTATCCATTTAAGAGACGCATCAGTATCAGCATTGGTATCTGTGATTTTTGCCTGTGATTTATAATACTTATTAAAAAGATTAAAATTTACCGTCTTTATGCTTGTTTCTACATTAATTTTGCAATTCCATGTGAAAATGTTTATGATTGCAAATTTTAATGTTAGATGCAATGAATCATGCTTAATTACAGAAAAATGTGCGATTAATTAGTTACATTTTTTATCAATTGACACCACTAGTAATTTCATAATTCTGTGTGTTCAGAAACAGTCATAAAAGTGTCTCTCTTTTAAGTCACTTAAGTGGCCTTTTATGTCATTAATATTATATTTTCTGCAACTGTAGTTTTGTGCAATGGTAAATGTGACGTCACTTTAAAACAGGAAAATATGAAGGGAATATTTCTTGCTGTATACGTGAAGCAAGTGATGTGATGAGAAGTTTTCCCCAGCCGCTGATTTCACTAATGATTAAGATGTGGGTTTGGCCGTGGGATCGTGCAGCAGCAGTTTGGCCCGCCTGTATCCCAGAGCAGCAATTGAACGCAGTCTGCTTTGCCAATATATGCTATTAGGATATTAAAATTTCAGCTGAGGGAAATCTGGCATTCATTTGAGGCTGCTTTACACCGCTTTAGATCTGGACTTGGCTTGACTGTCACAGGTGTTAAAGGACTCCCATTCTTGATCTAGAAGATTGCAATTAAAGTACATTTAAGTTCCTGGCAGATGATTTTTTACAAAGCTGACATAACATCCACTACTAAGTGCTCCTCATGGAAAACCAAGATAACAGAGTCAATGTGCAGAGGTTCATAATTCCTTCTATAATGTCTGTGTCTGCATTGTACTTTATTTATATTTAGTGATACTTTTCATTTTTTAGCATGAATTACCTGTAATCATGTTCTCATGCACACAGCACAACAGAATGTATATTAGTAATAAATGTTTGAAATGCCACCTATAGATTTTTGTATTTAATTTAATAAAAAATATAATAAAATAAATGTTAAAAAAATATTGCACATATCAGGGAATAAATATGCATCATAGGTTAAAATGTAATGACATAAATCATCTGTGGTGTTTTTGTTTACCAAAACCAATAAAAATATTTTTTGTTAACTGGAGAAAAAAAAGCTGAAATAAAATTATATAAATTTTATATGAAAAACTTAAATGAAAATTAGAAATGTCACTTTGGCATCTAACTGAAATAAAATAAGTTTGAGTACTAAAATTACTAAAACTGAAATAAATAAATTAAAGCTTAATAAAAAAAAAAGCAAAATAAAAATGACAAAAGCATATAAAAAATTCACAAAAACTAAAATTAAAATTAAAAATTAAAATTTACAAAATAAAAGCCAATTCAAAATATTAATAAGTACTTTAATAATATTTAAATAATGTTAAAATAACACTGATTCCAGTAGAATACATGGCCAATTCAGTTCACCCAGACAGAATGTGATTTTTTTTACCACGTCACATGAAAAGTTGCGTCTTTATTTTCAATAATTGATGGGATCAGATCATATTTACACAATGTCCAATAAGAAATTTCAGTATCTCTCAAACATATACAGAGTTCTGGCATGAAACTCTAGATGGCGCAGTCCAATAGGTCTAACTCAATCTGACCTAATGACATCATTATCACATGGCACAGCTGATTGGTTCTCTCCTGTATTAGTAGCCAATGAGCTCGCTGCTCAACATTCAAATATGTGACTAGTGTTCGCCGTAGCAGTTGCAGCTTGCTTCAGAAACCCTCCACCTTCCCCAGCTCCACCTGTATAGATCTGCTACAAGGTGATTCATGTACGCTATATGGGGGTTATTTCATGTATGTTATATTTGCAGCAGCAATATTTCTTACATGCTCACAGCAGCATGTTGTGGATGTATTGGCAGTAGCAAGTCTCGGTACTTGCTCTGCCGCAGCAGCAGCAGCAGCGTAGCAGATCTATTCCACCAAGAC